AGGGGTGGTGGCAGAGACTTCTGTATGTATGGCCACATAGAGAAGAATTGATCAGTAAGTAAATAAACTAAAGATAATAGGAATTTCACTGTTGGAGAAGGGAGATACAAATATAGAAAGGGAAAAGACTTGAATGAGCCCTGTGGTGATGGACTGGAATTGGAATTGGTGTGAACTCATGGTTTTCAAGATAGATAGATAGATGATAGATAGATAGATAGATAGATAGATAGATAGATAGATAGATAGATAGATAGGAAACCATGAGTCCCTAAATAAATTAACTAACTGAATGTTTGATAAAGAATAGTATATTCACATAGACTCACAAATAATAACCATAGTACAAAAAGAGTGATGTGTACTATGGTTATACAGGATGTTACCACTGGGGAAGTTATGTGAAAAGTGCAGGGACCTTTCTGCACTATTTTTGCAACTTCCAGTGAGTCTATATAAGTATTTAAAAATTTTTTAAATGTTTATTTTTTAAATTAAAAAAAAGGAAGAGTAATTTTACATTGGAGAAGTCTGGCTAACATCACCTTAATCAAGAAGTGAAAAATTAACATCATCCAAAATGGGACAAATCAAAATCATTGCCACCTGATAGAATGCAATGAGAATGCGTGTCACGTCTCTGATTTTCCTGTTGAAGATACAGTCTGAATCTAATCACAGAAACTATCCGACAAACCCAAACTGAAGGACATTCTACAAATTAACTGGTCTATAATCTTCAAAGGTGTCAAGGTTATGAAAATTAAAGACTGAGGAAATGTTCTAGGCTGAAGGAGACTTAAGAGACATAACTAAACACAACACATGATTCTGAACTGATCCTCCTGCCATAAAGAAAAGTATTGGGACAATGGGTGATACTTGAGTGGGGGCTGAGGATTAGCGGGTTATGGTATAGAAATGTTAATTTTCTGATTTGGATGGTTATATTGTGGATATGTAAGAGAATGCCCTTGTTTGTAGAAAATGTAACTAAAAGTATTCCAGTATGAAAGTTCTCTGTACTATAGTTGGAATTTTCTATTAGTTGGTGATTGTTTCAAGAACTTTTTTTAATTAATTAAAAAGAAAAAACACAACTACATCACCAGCACCTAGAACAGGCATGGCATTCCAAGGGCTCAGTAACTATTTCTTGAAAGAATTAATGAACTATACAAACAACTACAACAATTAGATGCTTAGAAATAGAGACATCCAAATATTAAATGGTTTTTTGGAGGTATGGAATTATCATAGGTAATTTGGGTATATTTTTTACCTTGTGCTTCTCTGTGTCTTAAATTTTCTGAATCAAGCGTGTTTTATTAATTGTTAAATTGGTCAGGCTGTTAACTAAGAATAATATTTTAGAAGTACCACAAGTCTCGTCCCTGGTTTTGTGGGTTTCAACATTTGATGTTACCAGTTACTTGAACCAGACCCTTGGAAACTGCTTCAGTTTACCTAAGTACATAGATACCAATACTACACGCTAATTATTACTGGGATATATAACTTCCTAGTGTCTAGAATATTCCTGCCCACTACTCAGGGCTCCCTCCTTCCCAGAATCATGTTCCCTGAGTAGTTGAATCAGTCATCAGCAGTTTGGTGAACAAGTAATTATACTACGTGGTTTGGAGAGTTTTATGGGATATTTAGTTCACATTAGGGAAAGGACTAGAGAATTTTTCTGGATCCAGACTTCCAGTGACCAAGACATTCACATCCCTTGGATACTGCTGAATAAACATCGACAAATTCTGATTAAAAGAATCCTTTTTCTGAGTTCTGGGAAGACAGTTATCACATAATGGGCATGTTAATTTGATTATGTTTCGTTTGTATTGACTACATTTTGGATTAGCATCTCCATGATGGGATTTGACAGGCATCCTAGTTCCTTTCGCAGCACATTTACATGTCACCTCTTAAAATGAATAATTTCTGCAGTCAGTTGCTGTATGTAATATGTGGACTTGGTTTAATTAACATTTAAATTTTATATTTAATAGGTAACATACGCACTTGGTCAAATTTCAAAAGGTACAATGGGGTAAAAAGCTCTCTCCCATCCCTGTCACCTAACCACCCAGGTCCCCTCCCTAGAAGTAACAGATATTATCATTCCAGGGAGATATACATACATACATACACTTTTCACCCTATGTAATACTTTACATACTGTTCTTCACATTGCTTTTTCACCAAGACTCTATCTTGGAGGTGATTTTATATCAATATATAAATAGCCTAATTTTTTTTAAGCACACTATATTCCACTTAATGAATATATCATCACTTTTTTATTTGTTTTTTGGGGGGGTTTGAGGGGGGTAATTAGGTTTACCTTTTTTTGGCGGAGGAGAGGGGGTAATTAAGTTTATTTAGTTACTTATTTTTAGAGGAGGTACTGGGGGTTAAACTCAGGACTCTGTATGCTAAGCATGCACTTTATCACTTGAGCAATACCCTCCCCCTACCATCATTTTTTAACTAGTCTCCAACTAATTGACACTAAGATGGCTTTCAAACTTTCACTATTACACAATGTTCCATGTACCTAAGTCATTTTGCACACAAGCAAATATATTTTTAGGATGAATTCCTAGCAATGTAATTGCTAAGTCAAAATATGTGCATTTTTAACTTTGATAAATATTGATATAGTGCCAAACTATCTCCCTTAGAAATCACATGAGAGTCTCCCTGAAT